AGAAAACATATATGTTAAACTTTATTGTGTATTTTATTGAATTTTTTATAATACACAGAGTCTTTAACTTTCCGTTTTTACTGACTAGATGCACACTTAGCATATTGTGTTGTTGCATGTTTGTATGAATCTTTGTTATTTTCATAATGTTTCTGAGTATTGTGATCTGATACTGCAGGTATGGTCTGTAAATCTGAAACAACAATGTATGAAGAGCCAAAGCGGAAAGGAAATGGAGGCATGTTCTGCCCCCAGTATCTGTGTTTCTGTCAGCCTCTTAATATGTACACAGGCATGCACTCCTCTGCTTAATTATTCTGTGCTGAATCTCTTGTCTTTACTTGTTCTTTGCTGTTTGCAGCTGTTTATACTAAATAGATGGATATATAAATGGGATTTTGTGTGAACACACTCACTTTTCTTAGAGGCTCTTCTGCTGAGCACTGACCAAACCTGGAAATTACCTTGAATTTTAATTTGGATGGTTTTTGTAGAGCTTAATTGTTTGAACGTTTTGTAAGCGTGATCATAACGGGGTATTTTATAATATCAGAAAAGATAGTTTTAATAAAGCTGTCTAGAGCTAGAAAGAGGAACTCTTCCTTTGATGCTCCTTTGGTAGATGAAAACATTTTTGTTCAATAGGAGACCAGCATCTTTTTTTGCTCATTTGAGACCAGTTCTGGCAACATACTGATATTCATTCAAATATAAATGCCATATTCACTTTGAAATGCAAATTGTTTAAAGAAAAATAGCATATGGTAGAGGTAAGTACCTTTTCAAATCAGCTCCCACACTTTAGGGATGTGAGTACAGCTAAAATTATTCTTTGGAAAGAATCTGGAGCCTTTGACACATTGAAGCTTGAACTAATCAAGGCTTCCCAGTAAGCATATACACATATCCATATCAAGGAAACAGTGCTGAGAATACATGGATTAGCATAGTAATTTAACTGCCCCCTGCTAATCAACTTAAGCAACCAGCTGATGCATATATGATGTATTTGAAGAGGCACTCTTTCACAACTCCAGAATGGGCCAGGTAACTGACCATGGATTTCACGTTAATGTCGAGATATGTATCTATCAGTCTACGTGTAGGTAGATAATATGTGCGTGTGTATGTGTACAGATGGGGGAGACAACAGATGGAGAATGCATCAAGGCGTTGCTTGTAAAGGCTTCATGTGCCTAACCCAGTGTACAAGGTTTACTTATCAATGAGTATTGCTGGCCTCCTCTTTTTAACTGTCTCTCGCTTGTCTGCTAAAAGACTGAGATGATTTCTGCTGTTGAAGCTTTATCCTTGAGCGAAAAGAAAGGACAGTTGCTTTGTGGAGGTGTGGATTGGGGTTTGCCTGTTATAGATGGGAAGAAAGCATAGGAATGTTTTGTAGAAGCTTTGTGCAACATGCAAAGCATGTGAGAACAGCAACTGACTTCCAGTAGTCCTTGTTTTGGTGTGACAGCATTAGTGCCTATTGAGGTGGTAGAGTACATGCCCTGGGCGTGCTGCAAATAGACTGAGAAGTAGAAAAATTAGCAATGGATTGGGAAATAATGATTTTTAAATAAGGTTGTAAGTAACAAATTTGTGTTAGGGCTGAACACGTTCAGGAGGGAGGCAGGAGAAGGCATGGTCTGTTTTCTGTAGTCCAGCCCTTCTGTTTATCTACCCATGGATTCTGGCTTGCATGATCTGATATATTATGAGAATCTTACAGCACATGAACAAACTGGAATTTAACCTTGAATAAATATTACCACAAGCGTTGCAGGTAGCATGGGTATCAGAATATGGCAGTAGAAGAGGCGGAGCTGAGTTGGGTTTCATCATTGATCAACAAAATATTACATGATGGGACTTTGTACCTATTTATTGCTGAAGTCTTTCAGAAATGTGAAGTGAAAGAAAAATTCTGATTTATTTTGCAGAGTAAGTCACTTCCTCAACAGGTTAATGTCATAACATGGGGTGTGGAGTTTCATAAGATGGCAGTAAGGTTGAAGTAAAGCTTTTGGTGCTGACATGATGATAGAAAAGTCCTGATACTATCTTTTTAAGGGTTTGGGTTTGTGTCATCATTAGAGAGTGATGGGATGCTTCTGTTCAGAGATTTGTGAACTAGGCAAAAGGTGTCAACTTACAAATATTGCTGCTCTCTGCAACTCAGCCACCCAGCACAGAGTAGTGGGGATGTGTCATCCTGGCAAAGATGTCCAGTAATTGTTTCGATTTACCCATCATACCTAGCAAAATGCTCCATCTCAGCTTTCACATACCAGATTTCTCCTTCATGATCTTTGTTACAGAGATGCTCTTGCAGGAATTCATCACATATAGCTTCCCATTTTACTAGGTGCGGTGTGAAAGACGGCTACAGGTTAGAATTGTGCTTTTGTGGCATTGCTCTTGAGTCTGACAGGGTAGCTGCTTGTGAAAAAGTAAGTTATTTCCAAAGCCATTTACCAGTAATAATCTAAAGATGCCCAAAAAGGTACTACGGCAAAAACAAAGACTTCTGACTGTCTTGTCTTTCCCTGTTTCCCAACAATCCTTTTGAAGTGGGTGACCCAGAACTGAGTACAGTGTTTCAGATGCCCATCATGGTGTGCCCAGCTTTTCATTTGGGTTGAGTACAGTGTTAACACACATTGTGGCATCTGTTGTTGACTCTTGAGTCCTTCACAGCAGTGTTGCTACTCAACCAACTGGTCCCTAGCTTCTGCTGTTACACCAGGTTGTTCTGCCCCAAGAGCACAGTTTAGGACTTCCACTGGTTGAACAATGTGGTGTTTATATTGGTCTAAATCTGAAGTTTCTAGAGTCCATTTGGTCTCAAGCTCTGTCATTCATGTCAGTCACTCCCCGTAATTGTGTGTCATCAAAATAATTTATGAATGTTCATAGTTTGTCTGGACTGGAAAACTGGAGGACAAGGTTATTTCAAAGTGAGCATCAGCGCCATCACAGAAGTTCACTTGGAAGGAGGTATTTCTTTTAAGAGACCCCAAAATATGTGTGCTATAAGACATTGTTTCCATTTTCTGTTGTGACTTTAAGATACTGAGCTATAATTTGATCCTCTGCTTTGTAGTTTCATTTCTGTGGGTCTGATCTCTTTGCTGAACATTTCTTTGGAAGATGTCTTTAGTAGGTGCTAAAATGCCAGCATTAGCAATTTCCTCCAGTTGATGGGGTCAAGCACACAATGTCTTGAAGAGGATCATTTGTTGGAGGCATAAATTTTTTCAACTGTTTGGCAAATGATGCTCTGATTATGGAATCCTTTTGGACAAAAGGGTTGCCCAGAGAAGGTGATTTGAGAGGAATTATGTGCCAGTAGCTAAAGCATTACCTTGGGAGGTCCCAACATAGTTCCAAAATTCACCTTAGACTTTGCATAAATTGAGCAAATTAGTTTTCTGTATGTGTTTCATGTCTACTAAGTAGAGATTGCCATGCAGAAATTCTTGAGACTGAGTAAGTACATTCAAGACTCAGGTGGACAGATACTGTAGTGATGTATCTGTGGTAAGGACTAAAGATGAGATTTAGTCTTGGGAAAGGGGAGGAGAGAAAGGGACAATTATGCCAACTCTAATAAACACAAAGTAGTTCACTAAGCTCCGCTGTCTTCCCAAAGGCTGCTCTGGGAAAAGACATAATGATAGAACTGGGAGTCAGGAGATCTGGGTTTTATTTTCAAGTCTGCCACAATCTTCCTTTGTGGCCCTGGGTCATTTAACCTCTGAAAAATGGGGGAAATGATAGCAGATAATTAACAACCTCACAGGAGCATTGAAAATTAATTCATTAATTTTTCTGAACTCATCAGTAGAAGGTGCAATGGAAATGCATTTTACAAAATTGTGTCTGTTTCTTTCCCTTTACATGTGTTTTTAAAGAATAGTCTTAAATCCATAGAAGACCTGTGGGGTACCTTTTGAGAGCCTGCCACAAGGAATGAAACTGGCATTGTACCATCTTTGTATCTTTATAGTATGCAAGTCATGTGCTAGGAATGGAGTAAAATGTGCTCAGAAACCAAAACTGTAGAGCAGACCTTGGTCCATATCAAGGTGTGTGTAAGAGCATCAGAAACCTGAGTTTGTGGAAAGGTTTTAATTGTTTCAACTCTAAAATTTATTCAACCAGATCACACTTCTCCTGTTTTATGGTGAGAAACCTTTCTCCATTGCTCCCCCTTGCACACACCTTCCAGCATTTTATTGTCCTAGACCTCAGTGATTGTGAAAATACAAAACTGTTTCTAGTGTTTACTGGGTAAAGGCTATTCTATGTATCTCACCTTTTGTGTCATAGACCTTCAGTTAGAGTTGTGATAGGTTTATTGCTGTGGGACAAGACACAGGAATTATATTTGCAGTCAGTGGAACAAGCCTCTAGTGTGTGCTTTGTGTCAAGATATTGGTTTAAGATTAAAAATCTAAATGAGTGCTTGGTCTTGCAATGGCTAGTAGTTATTTGGTTCCCATCACTGTGTTCTTGGCTTCACTTGGGGGACATACTTATGTGAAATATTATTTAGAGGTAGATTGTCTTACAGTCTTTGAGTTGTCTCATCTCGGTTACTTCCGTAGACAGTGGTTTTCAGGAAGAAATATATTTTCTGTTCACAGTCTGTCTTTCGTGCTGTATGCGTAAAAAGTGGAGAATCTACATGGAATGTGACTGGTAGCAGGGTTGTGGAAGACTGTTTTCCAGAAGACAAAATAACAGAATGAGGTGAAATCTTAAAAATTTTGGCTCTTTTGTCAAGTTCCTAGCTGGATTCAAGTGGGCTGCTGAAATCTGAGGTGCCCCAAGCTGGTCACAGGACCATTGTCTTCAGAGTTTCAGGGAGGGCTGCATTGGTTTTTGCGTTGGTTAAGTAATCTCTTTTTCTGCTCTGTTAAGATGCACCCATCCATCTTCATGCAAATCAATTTTGTCTTCTCTATTGACACAATTTATTTTCCATTTATGTCTAGGGAACGTGACTACTAGCACATCTGTGTCTCAGATGGCAAGTGGGATCAGTCTAGTCTCCTTCAACAGTCGTCCGGATGGTATGCATCAGCGCTCTTACTCGGTCTCCAGTGCAGATCAGTGGAGTGAGGCAACAGTCATTGCAAACTCTGGCATTAGCAGTGGTAAGAAACCTGGAGCTGGGGGGGGCTATCTGCTTTGGGGTGAAGGGGGAATTTGGCGGTTTGCTTTTCTCAAAAAGAAAAAAAAATACAACCTAATGTTCATCCAGATGCTCTGTTGGAAGCCAAACTTCTAGCTTCTGAGAGAAAACGAGACATGAGATAAAGGAGAAGAGATCAATACAATACTTTTTCAGCAGGAAGAGCTAATGTAATTATAATACTGCTTAAATTTAATTTCAGGTATCTAATGTAGGTTGTTCACTTGATACTCTTATTTCCTTACTCTGTATGGTAGGTATTAGCAGTAAATTATCTTCCAGATCTTTTCATCAGCATGTCCTCTCTTGGCTGTGCTCTTGCTTTAATGTATGCACACTACTGGCATAGTCGTGGTGTTTTCTCTGTGGAGTATTTAACAGTATTAAAAGGAGCAAACGCTATTCCAGATGGTGTTTTGCAATGATTAGATTGTAACAGTGACACAGGGATTGTTGTTTTTAAAGGGTATGCGTGGTATTTGGTAACAAAATGGTGCCTGGGGCCTCCACAGAGTGTTGGGCAAGGACAGAGATACAGTGCTGTTCACTTATAGCTGACCTGCTGCCCATGCAAGTCAGAGCATCCTTGGAGCAGCCATGGCGGGTGCACTGGGACTTGGGTGTTTCTGATGCGGTGTGTGCAGAGATGGGTAATACCAGTGAAGCACACGTGTCCAGGAGCATGAGATTTTAGAGGCAGTTGGAGAAGCCATGGGAAGTTCATCAAACAGAGAAGAAAAGGAGATGAGTGTGTGAGAGAAGAAAGAACTGAGAAGAAACTGAGAATATGGATAACAGCGGGAAAAAAATAGGACAGGAAAAGGGGGAGAAAAAGCTGTTTCTGATGGCTAGCCCTAAAATAGTGGGAATTAGAGGAGTATCAAAACTATTTCACATCCCATGTGTATATGTGTGTAGAATATATATATATATATATATATATATATGTATGTATCTGTATAAGGTTTGAATCTGAGTGCAGCCTCTGGGTTTTTAAGCAGCTTTGGACAGTGCCATCTTATGAGAACAGAGGGTTTAAAATCGTGGTCACCTCGGTTCTGAGTGGCATTAGCTCTCAAGCCCATAGTTGCTGAAGCACATGCTTTTCTGGAGCTCTAAACTTGTGGGCAGCATCTTCAGCTGCGTGGTATTTGCATCAAAATGGTACAGATTTTGACCAAGAATTTTCTAAAGCAAGTATCCTTTATTTCACCTTGGTGACAGATCCTGCTAAGCAGCATGATAAATTGCTTCAGCGCTGTTCTCTTCTGTGTCCACCCAACTCACCCACTTCTTTGGAAGTCTTCTAGGGCAATCAGAATTGTCCTACATGGATTTCTTTAGACTGAACCAGTTTCACAGTTAAGGCCATGTATTTCTCTCTCTTTTTCCCAAGCTGCTTTGTCATTTTAATCCACCCTAATTCTCCTTTCCTTTTAAGAGGTTATACCAAAGTTTTAGCTTTTTGCGCCCTTCTTTTATACTGTAGCTTTTCAAATAGAAGTTGGAGAATATTGTATATTTGCACTAGAAGGCAGGCAAGTGAAAGACAAGATATAGTCTCTTTACACCTTGACATACCTACAGACAGGTAAGCAGATGCCATCCCCGTGCTCCTTAGTGCCAGATTTGACAACTGAGGCTGCAGTAGAGGAAAATCTTGAAAATGCAGAATTCAGTGATTTCCTAAAAGTGGCACATAATTAATATGTTGAGAAGTAGGAATGTAACCTATATTCCTACCTTTTTCCCTTCCCCTTTACTTCATGATGCTGTTTCTGTTTTTGAGATATTTGCTGGACTTGTCTTTTGCTCCCGATGCTGCGCTTCAGCTAGTTTTAAATTCCTGTTGAAGGGAACCTTTTCTCCTACACGAGCTGTATACTCCCAAGTATGTGCAGTACCTTTTTCTGACTTGACATTCATATGTGATTACCTTTGGATTATAAGAGATGACAGCTAGAATTATCTGTGAAATATTTATTCAAAAAATGCAGATGACCAGTGGATATTTCTGAATAAGCCTGACTGGAATAATTTCTTGCAAAGGTTCCAATTTAAAAAAAAAAAAAAAAAAAAAAGATGTTTTTTTATAAGTATGGAGAAAAAATTGGACTAACTGAGTTTTAGGCAACTAAGTGTCAGCAGAAACAGAAGTATTGAGATAAAAACTGCTGCAAAACCTCAAGAATAATTCATTGCTATCAGTGTATCATCTTTCGGTAAGCTCATAGATGTGTCCTTTATGTTGGCAAGTTGACGCATGAAAAACCCTTTTTAATTTCAGGGTTTTTTCTCTATTAAAAGATTTTTGAATTTTAGTCATAAAAAGATAATACTGTGAAAGCAGCAGGTATGGCGAGAAGCTAAGCATCTTTTGGAATTCAAATGCCAATGTACTGGAGAATATGCCTGCTTATTGTCACATGGTTTTATTGTAGACAAAATAACATATTGGGATTCAATTTTTCTCTGCACCTTTTTTTCACATTAAATTAATACTTTGTGTGGCTCCGGAGAACTTTTCAAAGTCTTCCGAACCAGACCTTTGGTTTCCTGGGGGTTCTGTCTTTCAAGCAGCTGTGAACATCTCCTAATTAGATAAATTACTTTGTAGTGGGCAGAGCCACAAAACAGGAGGTGCTGGTTAAATTAAAGGGGGAAAATAGAAAAATCCATTCTCTGAAATGGAATGCCCCACTGCTTTATGACTATTACTGTTGTAAGGTTTTACATTTAAGTACCTGAGGTTTAAAATTAAATGTCTAATATAATTTGGCACTGGTAACATGAAGCCTGTGACTGCCCTCAGAGAAAATCTAGACAGCTTAGTTCAGTGTTTCAAATTGCTGTCTGCTTGATAGTGAGCGGATCATGCGGCTGGCTCACTATTTAGCTAAATACCACATGCTGTTCAGCATAATTCTAAATGCAGTAACATATTTGCCTTAAAAACTCTGAAATTTAAAAAGTCTGTTCCAGCAGCACATGAAAAATTAATTCTTTTTACATTTTTTTCTTACTCTTGTAAGTACTTGACAGAAGTAATTTTAGCAGTAAGAGAGAATAAAAACTGGGGGCAGTAAATCCCTGTCCGGGAACCTCTTGTGTAGATTCTTTATGGACCCAGAATTGATCTACATGTCAGATCCTGATGTAGTTTAAACTGTTTATCACCCTAATGGCGGTAGAGAGACCATGAACATCAACTTATAATCCTCCATGAAAGAAATTGGTGTTTGCAGTCAATGAAGGAGCAGCTTAGCTTTATTGATAGATTTAGAACAATTACTGCTGCTGCAACTATTGGCTGAGTGGTTTTCCTGGATCACATTGGAAGCCTGCGATTTTTTTTTTTCCTTGATAAATCTTTTCCTTGATGGATCATTTTTTTTTCACTCAGAATTATCTATAGTTTCTCACTGCTGGGGAATGAGAGGGTTGTCTGGTCTCAGGGGAGTCATTCGTAACCTGTTCGGGTGTTGAAGTTTGGTTCAAGAATGTGCATCTGTACGATTCCTCCTCTACAAATTCAGTTTTTATTTTATTTCATACATTCTTTTTCTTCTGCAAATTTTTGTAGCTAGGAAAAGCAGGATTGCTTTGAGGAATCAGGGAAAAACTGGCCAGGAGTACTGTTGTGAAAGGCATCTCAAATGCAATTTTTTTTCCAATGGAGAACAGATTAATATTAACTAGTGGTGTTGCTGCCACTAAGAGATGGCACTGTCTGTTCCATAGTCTTCACAATTTGCGCATCTCTAAAGAACTTGAGAAACAGATCCTTAGTAGCTTATTCATTCTCTTTTTAAATGTCAGCTTTTATAGTTTGGCTTCTAAGACTGTGTCCTGAGACTGTCGAAGGGAAGATTTTCTTCCTTAAAGTTACATTAAGCTGTTCTGAAACAGCACTGAAAACAGTAGTTTGCATGGGACAGGGATTTCTTTCCTCTGGACTTATAAATTGTCATTTGAATTCTAGCATGATATAAAATTCTGCAGTAAATCAAATATCTGTTTAAATATCATCTACTTAGGCTTTATCACTGTACAATTGCTTGTACGGGCCATTTGATCTCAGCTGTAATTTATGTAAGTTGTAATACCTGGTGTCTTTTGAGTTTCTAACAGTTTGGTGTTAGGGTTTATTAATGTAAAATTGAGTTCTCACTATGCCATGGGGTATGAGATGTCATTGGAGTGTTTATATTAATGCAGACCTTACAACTTGGCTTACTTTTTTGATCATAAGCACTTGGAATGATTAAATGATGGAGGCTTCTGCTATGTGTTGAAAAAGAAAATGGTTCAACTTGCTTCTGACAGTTGTAACACCTGGATTTCAAAAGTGAATCAGAAAATGTTATTTAGAGTTGTTGGAATTCAGTAGGCAAATTCCTGATTATAATAAATTATATAATTTCAAATAGATTTATAGAATTTCAGAATTATTTATGTTAAGTGTAGATGGTTTAGATTGGAAGAATTTTTTCCTCATTTTTTTAAAGGAGGAAATCATTACTGAAAAGCAAATATAAAGTCATTTTGTCCTGCTTTCTCGCTGCTCCAGAGCTATGCTGGGATTTCCTGCAGTTCCTAATATTTCATATTTTAAAATTCACCATGTATAAGACAGTATATGTGCAAATAGTTTACACTGTCTTTAAGAATAGGGAGGAAAAGGGAACATTCATGTACTTTTCATACCCTCTTATGATCAACAGACAAATTGCTTCTGGCAAATACTTCCAGAGGGAAACTGTCAGTTCAGCAGGCTAAACTCTGCTAAACTTTGGTTATAAAATACTACTTTTTTAGAAATTTCTGGAAAATGATCCCCTTTTGGGATGAGGTTGCATACTTTAAAAGTTCCAGTATTAAAATTTAGTTTACATCCTTGAGAAGCTTTTACCTGAAGTAGGCCAGTCAACCAGAAATACTAAAAAATTCTATGCAACAGTG